TATTTTAATTTTTTCAAATATAATTTATAAAGAAAATGTTACAGAAATTTTTAGACTACAACCCCACTGTCCTGTTTTCATAGACTTATACCACGTGTTTGAATTATGCTTTATGTCCAAACCTATGATGAGGCCTATAGAAAGGAACCACTGCATATGTATAATGGTCTTCACAATTAGTAATGACCTTTTAGAGCTATTTATGAGAGTTTACATACCAAAGCAAAACAAAATATAATGTTTATAGGCAAGAGAAAGAAATGGAATGTATTTGCTATGCCTAGTAATAACACATAGTTTATATATTTAGAAATTTACATTGCTGCAGTTGTTATGTCTGTCAATGCATATGCTTCCATACTAGTCTTTGTTTTTTCTTTTTTTACCTTGCAGTCTTTCTCCGCAGATGAGGTCGCTGGTAAGTGAGATTAAGCTGGAAGTGAAGTAATGCCTATGAAGCGCATATGGGTAGTGGACATTAGATGTAACAGTATTTATTTCCATCAGTGAGAGGTCAATGGCTACTTACAGTCACACAGAAGGATAATGGAAAAGAGAAAAGCATTTAGGCATATCCTTCATTACCGGCCTTGTTGTGTTCCCAGCTCCCTGCAAGTCCCATGTGCATGGACTGGTTATTTGGACCTCAGAGAGCTGTGAATATCAAACACTAGCAGGCCTCTAACTACAGTTTTTGTGGTTGATTTTTTTTTAACAGATCGACTTCAGTCAGGATCAGCAGGATGGTAAGTTAAGAGAAAGGCTGTAGGGATAACTGAAGCCTAAAACTTTAACTTTGTACAATTTTTATTTACATACAGTGTGCAAATCTGAAAAGGTTTGTTAGGATGTATATGTGTAAATGTGGTGCATACTGCTATTGCAGAATCATAGTACATACATTTCATTAACGTTTTAACACAGATATTGAAATACATTTTGCAATTAATAATCCAACATTGCATCTTGTATATTGTACTCTTTCTCTAAAATCTTTTATAGAGTAGTGTATTGGCTCTCTATGCACGTGTGTTGGGTTGTCATCTGTTCTGAGCAAGAATCACATTTCGCAGTATTAACCAAGGTTGCTAAATGCTTTGCAACTTGATAACATGACAAGCCTACACAGTCTTTGGGCACAATAAAGTACTTAGCAGTTTTTAAGTGTTTTCCTTTCATTTTAATGTGCATAGATAGGCAAGGCAAAGTGGGTTCACAATCATAAGCTTAGGGCTTATTTACCTTCTTTGTGAGCAATGAAGACATTTTCTAAGTACAAAACCAGCTTTCAGAAAACATATGGCATATTCATACGAAAAGTACTAATGTTAGCAGTTTATATAGTAACCTAACCAGCTAACCTTACTATAAAATAAATATTAATGTGCACCAGCAACTACATGCCAGATAAGTCATGTAAAAACTTCAAGAATAGGGCTTTAATATTGCTGAACTCTAATTCATTCATTGTTGATTAAAGTTCAGCACCCTTAAAAAACCTTTATATTTCCTAGTATGTAGTGTAAGCCAGTAATACAAAAGTGGATTACAGAATGGTTTTCCAAGTTTGGTCAGTTGTTTGTAACTGAAGGAGTGCTCCATAGATAGCTGGTCACATCATGGTGGCAGGTTGAGTCACAGAGGTTATTCTGGGGTTACTAGTAAGCAAATGCCCAGTGTGTATCATTCTCTACATCAACTAATAGCACTGTACTTTCTATTATGAAACATTCGTATTATATATATTATTTATCCCTAGCCCTCAGTAAGTGCATTATAAGAGAAAAAATAAAGGGATGCACAGTGGATTATAATAATGTGACATTTAAAGTGTGTTATTTGAAACCCCATGGGATGAAATGTTTCTGATGCAACACTTTAGAGGCATTTTTCCTGGTGTTGTAGATAGATTTTCTATGATAATTGGCTACAACTGCTTACCCCATGTTCGGGCTGCATTACGTTTTTATCAACAAGAGTTTCTGCAGCAACTCTGGCTTGTAGTTCAGGAACTGCACTTGTAGGAAAATAAAATTAGTCTTTTATGATCTTCTTCATTGTATCAAGATGTTGAAGCCATTCAAAAGCTCATATCTGTTAACAATGATACAAACTAATATAGTGATTAGCAGTCACACGAAAGTCCTGCCCTCTAGCCTGTGAGTCCAATATATGTAATAATAACCTGTTGTGTTGTGCTTCACAACATCATATCAGAGATCCTAAATATACTTTCCATTAATTAGTGCTAGTCTTCTATCAGTAGGCTGAATGCCACACAGGAGATAAATGTCATCAAATTGTAGTAATATATGGGGCTCTTTGAAACTAAGCTGGCCAGGTGCAGCTCTTGGTGGGGCTTGTTGTACTTGTGAAAGGAAATGCTGACAGTGTCAAAATGTTCTCTGGTGACAGGTGCTTTATGGAAGGCATGCTAATTACTGGGCACGCTGGCAATGAAGGGGTTACAGCTCAGTGCATCTATGGGATTAGTGCAGGACATGGGGTATCCTGTTACAGTGCTGACCTCTCGCTAACATTAGCAGCTTTTGCAGTCTGCCTGTAAAACCATCTCTGCCTTGATTTGGAAACCCCTCTGTGTTACTCAAAATAACTGAGTTTCAAATGTCGCAGGCAGAAAAGAAGCTGAACTGGCACAAATTCCTAATTCGCTGCGAGACATGCCTTTTTTTTACTGCAACCCTTTCTTAATCCCCTATCTAGGTATTGGTCATTCTCTACCTTAGTTTATTATGTGTAATGCTTACACAACTTCTGTATCAGACATTTGAAGTATAGCTAGAGACTTCTGTGTCTTGAAAACCAAAGATTTTTATAATGTGCCCCTTTAACCACTGTTTTTAAAAAAAAGGTTTCATACTATCTTTGCCCTGTTGCATCATTCTCATAACTAAACAATTCTACATGCCATTATATGTCCCAGGATAGTTCCAATTCTGAGAGATTACAGGATGTAATACATGATAACTGGATTCACTGGTCAAAAGGATATAACACAGTATATATATAT